CAAGTGGTACTATCTTTGTTATTTTTACTTAACTCTAATATGTCATGTGCATAAAAGATTTGATATCAACAACAGGCGCCAAATTATTTATTTATTAATTTTAATGATATCTATTATAAAATTTAGTTAACTCTAATGATATGTACCATGTGTATAAAAGGCTACCTCCCAAATTAAAAAATAAAACCCAAGTGGTACTACTTTTATTATTATTTTTACTTAACTTTAATGATATGTATTATGTGTATAAAAGATTTGATATCAACAACTGGCGCAAAGTTAAATTTCAAAAAACTGTATGTATTCGTATGAAAGGTTTGATAGCAACTAGCGTAAAGTTAAATCCTATAAAATTTTATAAATTAATTAAATTCTACCAAAAAGTAAAACCCAAATGGTACTATCTTTAGAAATCTTAATGATACTATTCTTATTATTTATTTATTATTTATTTAATTTTAAGATGTATCATTTGTATGAAAAAACCTAAGTGGTGTACTATCTTTAAAAACCCAAGTGATATTACATTAGTGCTATCATATTAGTATCACAGTATCACATTTTTATTAAGGACGAAGTAGCCCAAAATAAGAAAAATTTTATTTATTAAAGGTAAAACTTTTCAAGACATTTAATGTCATTAAAAATTAAAATTATGATGGATAACAAGCATTGCGTGTAGATGTTACGGCAAGTGCCAGTATGATAACGACATTTATATAAGAAATGGTGAACGACATTGATATTTCAAATTCGCCAAAACACGATGATTATTTGACCTTTTCAAAGCTGACAATGAAATTTTTATAACCACCAAATCCAAAATTTAAGACGCAAGGAAAACCGCATACATTTTCTTATTAATGGCTGTATATATAAGGTGTTTGATAAATAACGATAAAACTCTTGCATAGAGATAGAACGGACTAAACTAAGTCGAAAAGTCCTCTACCATTTTGCAATTTTCGCAATAATTAACGAGATATCAATTACTAAAAATCACCAAATATTAGTTTTCATATATATATTAGGTATTAAACTTAATTCCTGCCGTTTTTCGTCTCCAAAATTGATTTATTTCGAAGGGACGATGAATGAATACCTTAATCAAAGTAATTTCCTCCATTTTCTACTTTATTACTAATTAATAATACTTTATTAATAATACTTTGATTAAGGTATTTCCCTTCGAAACAAATCAATTTTGGAGACGAAAAACGGCAAGAATTAAGTTTAACACCTAATATATAATAATTTTTTACTCAAGTACTATCAATTTTACAGAAAAACAGCAAGAGACTAAAATTGTTTGTTTTTTTCTCATAGAGCTGTAAAAAATTTTTCAGAATTTTTTATTAACTTTTTAATACTGTATTTTCTTATTAGCAACTATTTTTCCAACATGAGAAAATTTTTCTTTTCAGCGGTGCTAAAAACTTCTGAAAAAATTCTCAGGAAAGAATTCTACGAGAATTCTATGAGAAGAAAATAAACAATTTTTGTTACTTGCTGTTTTTCTGTAAAATTGATAGTACTTGAGTAAAGATTATTGAAAATCAATATTCGACGATTTTTAGTCATTAATATCTTCTTAACTATTGCGAAAATTATAAAATAGTATATATATATATAGAGGACTTTTCGACTCAGTTTAGTCCGCTCTATCCCTGTGCGAGTTTTATCGTTACTTATCGAACACCCTGTATAATACAATAAGGGCCTATGTTAAACAATTAACAGCAAATGTAGCGAATAAAAAATAAAAAACGGTATTTAATCGACGCAATGTTAAAAAGTGTTTAATTCAATCATTGCACATGTCCCAAAATTATTATTTAAAAACATATCTACATTATTTTCTGTCGTACCAAAAAAAAAAATAGAAGAGCAAAAAGAAAATTTTCATAAAATATGGCAAAGTTCATGAAAACAATACTTAAAAGTTAAAATTAATATCAAATTAAAATACCCATTAAATTAACTCTTCCGTTTCAAAATCATTTAACAAATACTTAAAAAATATTTTTAAAATATTCATTTGTTAAATTGTCAAAAATTTGTTAAATTGCTAGTCAATTTAACTTGTGATATTACTGCGTAGTTTAGTAGAGTTAGCGTTTCAAGACCGAAAAATCATTTCGGCGCGCGTTTCTAACCACTACAAACGTAGTATATAAATTCACACAAGAATCATACAAGCATTTAAGATCTAGCTAGACCGTTTAAAGCTTTGATTTCTATAGTTTATGATATTCATTTGTATTTTTATGATTATTACATGTGTGCGATTCATAATATAATTTTAACATTTTAAAATTTAAAAACTTATTTGTGTTATTTTCAATTAATTTATTATGTATTATGAAATTGCATTGCAAAATTATTGTACATGATAAAAACTTTTTCTTTAAACTTTTGACAAATTCATTTAAAAAATTTCAAGAAAATTATAATTCTACAAGCTTTCTTACTATATTTGTAATAACTTCGATCGCCGAATTATAACGGTAACAAACTAGTCATGTAAATGATACTCTGTGTGTATTACCGAGAAGTTGTAAAATACATATCAAAACACGTACTATCTATACAAGTGTAAAACTTTCGCGCTCATATCTATAAGATTATAAGAAAATATATATTGACAGATATATATAAAAACATAAAGTACAGTTTACTTTCACAATTCATAACATAATGCCATAAATAGTGAAAATAAAAGCATAATAAATTAAATATATTATAGATTAAAAATACAGATTAAATATGCTAAAAAAACATGTATAGGGGAAGCCCGGGCAAAATGAACGCCCTGGGTAAAGCTAATACCTTTTATTTTCGCTTATCTATCTGAGATTGCGCTGAGTTCTAGCAGTTGAAGGAATAACCGACCAGCTACGCTATGAAAGTACGAAACGATATATGATTGCGTTTGTTTGTGTTTAATAAGAGACATATAGAAAATTGAGTGTTTTCTTGCGATTTTTCCTTAGGTACGTAGCTTAATTATTATTTGTAATTGTTCTTTGTTTGAATAATTTTTTATAAGAATTCTGTGTCTTTAAACGTGTATTCGAGGTTAAAATTTTTCATTCGGCTTCAACTTATTCTAACCTTTCCAAATTCGCGCCAGGTAGGTCCTTTGGGCAAAGCGGATGAGGGCAAAGCGGATAATCCATCCTCTTTACTCGGTATATGATTACAATGAAAATACTGGGAATACGGAGGGACAGACGACCTTTCGAGTGTACGAAAAGCACGTGTTTGTTTACATCTCATTTTTGTTTATTTTTTGCCATAATGCAGTATGATGATTTGTTTATGACTGGTTCAGTACAGTCATTGCACCAAATGGGCCCATGAAGGCTGCACTACGTATAGAGAATTTGGTACCTATTTTTGTGGCGATTGCCAAGGCTGATTCTAATTTTTTTAAATTTCATTTGCATTGCTCGAGTGATCTATTCGCTTTGCCCAAGGGGGTTGGGCAAAGCGGATGATTTCTCTTTTTTTATGTTTTAACTAAAACAACATATTAATGTTCAAGTTTTTTAATTTTTTATTATTTTATTTCGAAGTTAAGTCCTTTAAGAGATTTATGAGAATAAAAATGGTTTCTATAATCTCAATTTTAATTGTGTCATTTTTTCTTCTCAATCTTAACACGTCCGCGCTGTGCCCGGACTTCCCCTATATATTATATAAAAATATGCAATATTTGTATTATTTTACAATGAAAACAAATTATTATATTTTAATGAATATTTGTATAATAGTGTATTAACGAAACATTTACTTACAGTAAATAAATATTTATAACAAGAAAAATGATATTTAAATCAAATTGATAGTTTTTGTATTAAATATATGTTTACATTAATATTTAATTAATGCTATTCAAACAAATATTTATTAAAAATTTAGTAAATTTTTTTAAAATAAAATAAATAATATAAATCAAATAAAAATGTTTTTAGTGTATAATATGCTCGAAATTCGAAAACAATTAAAGACTTGTGAATATACCTATATGATTTCTATAATTCGTATGTAAATTTTCATGAAGATGTTAGATAGAATTTTATCACGTAATTATATATTATATAATATTCAATAAACTCAAGAAATGCTATTATGTGAACATTCTGCTCACGACATTGTCACGTGCAATATGATAGCAAAAGGAAAACTTTAATCAGACTTTGATCACACTCTGATCAGACTCTTTATAATATTAACCGTATAGGTATTATTATAATTAGCTCTGACCGATGAATAAATATTTCTGACAATGAGCGCTAAATAAACTTACACTCGTAAAAAATTAATGTGTGTTCAGTGCATTATTTAGTTTCGCTAGTATAAGAAAATTTCGCAGTGATAGCTAAGTCGCGGCAATGGTGTCACGGATAAAATCACAGCTAATGCCAGACTTTCTACAGACGATGACCAAGACCGAAAGACGGAACGTGCTTCGCGTAAAATTGCGCCGGCAATTCTTTCCAAATTCACTCCTTCGAGTGCTACTTTGCGCCTCGATGCGCACGTGACCGGTTCTTTCGCCAATCATTCCTTTTGCATTCAATTTTTTTTAACAGATCGCAATTATCCGTGAGAAATAATTCTGAATAATAAAATTGCGAGATGTATACATACGTTTGTGTATCTTGCACAATCAATGCATATGTGTAATTACTAATTATACATATCATAATTATGCAA